AGCACCAAATAACTAACTACAATCAAACTTATTAGAAAAACATACATAACTACGTACAATGATGGAAAACATCTCTGGGAAAAATTTTTTTGAAGTGTAATTAAAATTTTTAGTTTGACATCCCATTCGTTTACATGGACAGGGTGGGGTTTAAGACCTATAGTGCAGTGAGCCACCAGATGGCGATCAAAATGTTAACTTAACTTTTAGTATGAATGTGTGTAGTATGTATGTAGAATGTGTATGAATGTAATCTGGACGTACAACCTTCTCCATGTTGTCATTGTCACATAACCTTCCAGCGTCAGTTGCATCGCATCATTCACAAATCCTCTCCCGTGGCCTCATGGGATAGTAAAGTGTCCATCGTATGCACACTTCAGAATCATGCTGGAAGTAGTAGGGTATCTGGGTACTTCTTGCCTACTCTATGACTAATGACTAATGTGAATTTGGAAATACTTCTTTTGTCACATACTGTTTTTCGCCTACTATACAGTAGAGAACTATGCGATTTCAGATGCAGCCAGTCTCCTGCCAGAGGTCAGCATGAGGCTCAACTCCCATAGGAACAAATTGATAGCACTCGCTTTGTCCCCCTCGTTCCAAACTAGTGGACACGCACTGTAAAAAAAAAAGAGTTAAAAGCGTACTGAGCTGCAGAAGAGGGCTTCGAAGTTGCATTTGAATGGACAAATACACACAAAAATATGTCAAACTGTCTGTATTTGCGAGTTTTCACTTAAACATAGTCAGTTATGTCTTCAGTGAACATAAACAGTTGGGAAAGTCATAGAATGCTTGTCAGTATATTAGATCTATGTATTCTGTCTTAAAGCGACAGCAGCCTAATAAACCTGCTGCTGTCTGTTATTTAATGTTATTAATGTAGCATTTGGGAAATTTTGCAATTTAACTATATGAAATCAAGCTGGTTGATACACCAGTCATAGTAAAGTTCTTTGACAGTGAGCCAACTCTCGATATTTCAGCCAAACAGATTTACATTTTGCCAGTCTGTTATGATTTTTGATTGTGCTCAGCAAAGAAGTTACATCAAAGCACCAAATACAAATACTCTGTTTGCACAGACTTTAACACTGACCTTTATATTGACGCACAGAGGTGGCCTGAATGTATTTACAGAGGAATCACAATCACAACAAACAATGAATCACATGCTCATATATCAATTATTAATTTGTGTGCATTTGAAGAGCCTCTGTCAATCCAACTGCTTTCCTGTGATGCAACAGACAGGAGCTTACTGAGAGTGGTTTAAAATATGCAGTACTGCGCAAAAAATTTTGTTTTAAGATGGTTATTTATATCGTTTGCTTTCGTGTGCCAGTAGGAAATATCAATTTTAGATTTCCAAACAGATCTCTGTGTGGACCATCTGTTGTTTCTGTTCATACAAAAAGCATGTTAGACTTAGACCTGTCACGAAAAGTTAAAATATTTCTTATTTTGCTGAAATCTTTGGAGCCCAGCAAACCTGATTAATATATAATGTGTGTGAAACTCTAAGGACCAAGAAACTTTGGCTTGGCTCAAACCAAAACACAGCAGATGGCACGATCCAGAAAGACACATTCTTGATGCACTTTTCAGCTGTTCTGAGTGAGGTTCAATTCCCTTAATGTCTGTGGTGTCTGTCGTTATTTGAAAGGCAAAATGTGATTGAAATGTATTATATTTTATATACAGTTCCTTCAGATAATTGCAATTGGATCACAAAACCATTAGACGAGTAAACAATACTCATGACTGGTCTAGTTGGATCATTGTAATTTTTCTTCGCTAACCTGATGGTTTGCAAACTGGGGTCCAGGGCTGTAGGGGTCCACAGAAAATTTAAGAGAAAAAGATTTTACATCATGTATTTTATTTAATGTGTTGACTTAAAATATTTATTAAATATCTTCAACACAATCATTTTAATTTAATTAGCAAATAGTTACACAATTAAATTACATTAAATTAAATTATTGTGATAAATGCTTTAAAAATAAATCTGAATTGTAGTGTGTGTGTGTGTGTGTGCTTTTCCCCAGTATTTTGTTTTGGCTACAGTATTTAATTTTTAATTTTTTAAAGTTATGTTTTTATTTTTTTTTAAGTGAAGTTATGGGCTATTTGAAGCACTAATATATAGATGCTTTAATAAACCATAACACCTTTCTGAAACCTTTAATTTAAGGGTGTTAATGTTCATTACCGACTGACTGACTGCACATGCTCTAATTAATTTGAATGCATTCACATGCACACACACACAGTTTCACACAGAGCTAAAACAGCCACATAAGTTCAGCCGGTTGACCTGGCTGGAGTGATTGTCCACGCACATTCCCACCCATGGAAGGCCTCTCAGGAAAGCAACACCCAGGTCATCTGCTTTATTTATTTACATTCCTCCGATCGGCAGGATCCTCCAGAGACAGGGCACAGAAATATGCTGTGGAAGGGTGTGGAGCACCTCTGGGACAACACAGGACAGCGCCTCCACCAACACCAGCCTATTATCACACACTCACACCATTGTGCTCTCAGAAAAGCTCACTGTGTACGAGAACAATACGTTACAGTAACCACCTTCACAAGCTTACTCTGTGATAGCTTGCTATTAATCCCTATTTATAGATTTTGTTCTCTGTCCACCCTTCATGACAGGTGCAGGAGAAGCAACTTAAGCCCAAAACATGAAAGTAGATACTTCTAGATCAGGGATGGGCAACTTTGATAGTGACGAGGGCCTGCATTTTTTCCCCTTTATACCAAGGGGCCAGATTACTAATCCACATCCACACACCTTTTACACCGTCTTACTCAATTTCCTTTTTATTGAAGGAAATTAAAGTATAACTAATGTAATTTGGAAAACTTTGTTGTCAGTGGACAGAAATATTGCCCCATCAAGCCAATGTAAACATCTCAATTGCATTGTCTGTAAATTTGCAACAAACAAATGTACAGAGGTCCTTTTTTTTATTAGTGGCCTACAGAACATTCTCAAAACAACCTAAGAGGACAGTTAAAAAGGGCTTATTCCAAAAAAATAATTATTCCAAATGTTACCATAAAATAACCTGGTATCTGCAGGATTTTTAAAATCAAATTTAAGACCTTTAAAGACCTTTTTAAGATCTGCACTTCACATTTCAGCCTTTAAACAATTTTTAAGAAATAAAATTTTAATTTAATTTAATTTAAACAATTATTATCAATTAATTATTATATTAAATAACATATAAATATATCTTAGTGTCTTAACTGTTTAGATTTTTATAATGCATTAGCTTTTTGACGATCCACTGGTTCACATTTAAAAATATGTAGCAAAAATAGCAGATGGGCTTATTGAAAAAGCAA